TTTTTCAATTTATTTGTACATGATAAGATGGCCCCAATTAAGCAGTGTTATTACTAGTAAAATTTTGAAGTTTTAAGATTATTTGGTATGATGTTATGAAATTAGCTATTAGCCATTTTATTTAATCTTACAACTAAAAATATTTAAATTATTAATAAAAATAATTTTTAATTATTGTATTAGATAAATTTATTAATTGTTAATTTTAAATTACTATACCAAATACTTTTTTCAAACAAAGTGTCTTATATTAATAGGAGTTTAAAATTTTGAAGTAGAGATATCATATTTAGACTTCAAAATAGATATCACAAATTTAAATTTTAAGACAAGTGAATAAAAATTTCAAAAGAAAAAGAAGTACTTTTTATTATTTAACTCATTATAGATACAAAAAAAAAATAATAATAATGAGATAAATTATTTGTCTATCACACTATTTATCACAAATTCTTGTCAAGTAAAAAACATTTGTTCATAAACTAATTTTAATAAGTTAACCAAAATATTGATGATAATTAATATTTTGTTTGGTTAGTTAATAATAATGATAAATAATTTTAATAAAATTTTCTCATATCAGACAATTTTGTTCCTACAAATCAATATTTATTTATCCAAGCTCTCTTTGACATTATATTTCAATATTTCTCATAAATGGTTGCTTTTTAGGATAGTTTATGTGTTTTAACTCTTACGTGCTATCACCATGGTTATGTATATGCTTGATTCTCTAATTAGATTCATGCTCTGTTCTTGTACTACTGCCACATCCTCTACCATTGCACTAAAACATTATTTGCTTGGTTGATTTTGTGATTGATTACAAAATAATAACACTTCTCAGTCATAGTATGATGTTTAAAAACAAAGTGTTAGAGAAATGTTATGAGCATTTCTATTGTTCTTTTTTCTTTTTTTCTTTTTTTCTTTTTTTGTTTCTTTTAGCACTTTTGTTAATTAAGAGGAGAAATGTTATTATCACTTTTGCACGAGATTTCTCAAGTACTTTTCTTTCTTTTTCTCATATCACTTCTTGCAACACTACATGTTAATGAACTCAAGAAAGTTACACTAAGTATGTAAATTGGTTTGGTGTCCAACTTTGTGTTCACTGTGGATGTGAAAAAACCCAATGAAATTTAACAAAGATACTGACCCAAAGGAGAAGGTGATGGAACTCGTCAAATGAACAACTTTTTTATAGGGTGAAAACATACTTATGAGAGAATTTATCCTTAAAAGGTAGCAAAAGTCACTAAAGGAGGTTATTCAGTCATGCAAAGAAAATTAAAGAGATCTTTGGAAGGGCAAAAAATATGTATATGAGGTGTGCTTGCAGAGTTAGTTTGGTTGGGTGTGAATTATTAGTGTTATGTTTTGAGTATGATGTAGAACGATTTATTAGGGGTTGGAAAAATATGTTTGAATTAATTTTAACTTATTCATTCACAACACAAAGAAAAATAGTAGTTATAATTATTACATTTGATAATTATATTAAGCAATATACAATTAAAGATAAAAGATTTGATAGGTGTAATTATGACTTAAATTATATGTTTAAAGTGTTTGGAAAAGAGAGCATGAATAAAAAAATTTTTCAAAATAATTTTTCTTGTACGATGAAAAATTATGGGATAACTTTAGTTTAAAATTTTATATCTTTATCCTTAATGGAAAGTTAATATGGTTATTTGACATAATTTTTAATTTTATTGTCTTATTTATGTAACTTAAATGTATTATTTTTTTAATATTAAAATATAAATATTTATCTAATCTTTATATTTTAAAATATGAATAATTAATTTTTAATCATTAACTTTAAAATAATTAAAAAAATTAAATTTCTATAAAAATATAAAATAAAAAAGAGTGAGAGTGGTGCTTTACTAAGTAAATATGTCTATTTCAATCATTTTAACATTCCATTAAATTAAAAAATCTTTTATAAAAAATTTACCAAACAACTTTTCATTCTAAAAGTACTTTTGTAAAAAATATTATCAAACACTTTTTACTTCTAAAAAAAGACTTTTATAACATATTCTTTTAAAAAGGATATCTATCAAAAGTTTGAGCCACACCAAAGGCTCTGAGTCCTTTATTGCATGATATAATTGGACAATATAATGCTACCTTAACTGATATGGAATTCTCCACTAGCATGAACTTCCTTGACCCTCTAGTCATATTCATCTTCATCATCTTCTATTTCCACGTTGGCCTCCACATCTTCTTCATCTTCCTCTTGTGCCCCCCAGTTGAAGCCCTTGACTCGTGTAGATGATGGAGGTGGACTTCTTGCTTCTGCCACGATTTTCATTATCTCATCCACAGTTTGAAGGGAAAAGGTTGGATTATCCCTCTGGTAATAAACGGCCTGAGATGATTCTGTCAGCTCTCTTGGCAAGTTCTTTAAAAACCAAGGATGATTTTTGATTTCCTTAATTGTGATTCTCTGTCAGAAAATTAAACAGTATGGTTTAGAAATCATTTTCAAGAAGACATGGTAATTGTAAATAATATTTTCATGAAATAAAGGAGTATCAGTATTAAAGAATAACAGGTTCATCAGGTTTCACAAAACCCATCAAGATTATTTAGTATGTGCAATCTGCCGAAAGTTGCAGAGTCCATAAAGACATGCTTCTTGCAGTTTTCAGTCTTCTTCAAGAAAATATTTGCTCTTTAAACTGACTTAAAATAGGGAAAAGGTAGCAAAACCATAACTGATTCCAAGGATTATGAAAAAAATGAGGCAAGAAGAGGAGAATTTGACACCACTGAATTATTGAAGAGGCTATCTCAGTTAGGTGTATAACCTGAGGAACAAAAGCCTTTAGCTGACTAAGAAATCTAATAAATCATAACATCAACTCAATTCTCTGAGAGTTAAAGAATGATAAGTATCCATGGACTTAACGTTTGGCCATTTTTAAGGACTTATTGCAAAATGAGGTTCAAATGTACTCAACCTAAGTATCTCCTAAAACCCTCTAAGGAGTTCGGTAAGGTAATGTCAGAGAGCAGTAGCAAGTTACAATTATGCATCCAATTCAAATTTGCAACAATTTAAACAGCGGATATTACAATGCTACATACCCTGGACGGATTTGCAACAAATATGAGAGAGAGTAGGTGCCTGCAGTCCTGTGATATATGAACACGGTCTGGAATTTTGTATTGAGCTGCCATTATTCGCTGCATTGAGAAAATGGTAAGAGTAAAATTATTATTAAAATAATAACAGTTATATTTTGAAAAGTTAAACAGACCAAAAAGATTCTTACCTGAATTGTTTTCCTCAAATTCCTTGGATCCTCTTGGTCTTCGAAAGGGTATGCCCCCACCAACATAAAATAGAGAATAACTCCACATGACCACACATCTGCCAACTGTATAAAAGCAACAGGGACAACTTAAGGACACTCGTGCTGATGAAAAAGAAAAAGGAAACTCATTCCTTTAAAACTAAATACACGGCATACACAACAACTTAAAAGGAGCAGAGGAGAGGAAAAACATTAGAATAGTCATATATCAAATGATATTGTAATAAAGTATAATCTTTTTCACTGGATATCACTTATGATTAGGAGGCTTGAGCAATAAGGCAATAAGGATAGAAAATTAGCAAGAGCAACCCAAAGTTCCAAAAAAAAAGAAAAAAAGAAAAGAAAGGCCTCAAGTGATGAGAAAGGTCACAAACCCAGAAGAGAAAGGTGCATTGGCGATGATTAACCTCAAGCATTGATAAGTCAAATGGCCAACACGGAAGACTATCACTCACAAAGTCCTCCAAATACTATTTGGAATCAAGATTGGTAATTGCTAGACTCATTTAACAAAAAAAAAGGGGACATTTGTACTCATTGGGTCACATATGTTGACATGCATAATCCAAAACCAAGCCCCAGGACCAACCATTCAAAGACAACCCAAATGAGAACAAAATGCAGAAGAAAACAAGATCATAAGAGGTCCCTCAACCAAAAAGTTGTGCCTTTACAGGGTAGTTCATCATAAGTATAATCCAAGCAACATCAACTTCTAGATCAACCTATTCAGTATTCACAAAACTAAGTTAAATTGCAAGAGAAGAAGTCAGCCTTTTTTAGTACCAGCAGGGCTAAAAAACTGTCCTGTTAGGTTATCTAGTCATTATTCAATTAAATGCAACAGTCAAGCAAGCTTTTTAAATCACCCAAACCAAAGTTCCAAAACATGTGATACATGGAGTGTCAAGTAAACCAGTACTCATTTTACTGCAATTTAAGGGAAGAATATGAAACAATATTGTATTAAACCAACTGACCAGAACGTGCCTTCAAGCTGTGATTCTCTTACAATGAGTATAAGGGCATTAAAAAAATATCGTCCACTAGAACAGTTGGAACTTGCAAACAGCATTACTTCACATCTTCCAGTCTTTAATGAAAATATTATCAACTTTAAAAAGGACAAAACTCAACTGGTGACAGAAGAGCAATTGTCCTCCATTTAAAAAAAAATAATGGTCTTCATTCTCA